CGGTCGATTAGTTAAGAATTTGTATATATGACTATTACTTATTATATTTGACGTTTTATTAATTCGTAAATATGAAAGTGCGTATATTGCACTAATTTTTCATAGGATATAAAAGTTTTAAATGAGTGACTGTATCATTTCATTCGGTAATCAATTCCCTTTCATTATTTACAAGTTAATGCTTTTAAAAAATGTACAGAACTATAACTAATACTTTTCTGAAATGGGATAATTGAAATTATCTTTACTTCTTAGTGTTCGCTTCCTAGAGATGTACGTTTTTTTAAATAGTTACTGTACTAAGCATATATTAAGTCATTCAGCTTTACTCAAAGTAGAACCTAGCATATATGTGCATCCGTCTTACTTGCTATACGAGATGATGTTATCAAGGTGAATACGTGAGTAGTATAAGTAACAGTAGTGGTAGTATCTGTGATAGTAAAAAAATGATCAGGCACAGAGAATATATGAGAAGTAAAAGTTTTTAAAAAAAATTTAGAACTCAGATTCTAAAGGAAAACATGGACTGAATGCATCTGCCAATTAGTGATTAATTCAAAACCTTGTCATTCAACATCTACAGCCATTTGTCACAGCAAACACTCAAACCTCTACCAGGTAGTTTAGACCAAATGCCAACCCATTGGGGCTGTAAACACGTTCAACTACTTCACTCCCTATCCTTAGTTCAGGTGTTGACACACGCCAGTCCTGAAGCAACAATTTGCATTTAAAAGGACAAAAACGCATTCCAAACATCCTAGCAATTGCGCTAAGCTTCGACAATGACATTTTATGGACATTCAAGACGTTTGTGTATCCGAGTAACTGTGTAAATTCCGATGATGTGATAGACGAGATAAATTCATTTATAGTGAAAACCAAAATACCATAATTCTATGTGAAAAAATAGTCACATTAGTCACTATAAACGATCGTATATACTAAGTGGCAAAGAGAGGTGTTTTAGTGAATGCTCGGATTACATTTCACAATTATCACAATGAGAGATAGAAAACAAATGTAAACAAAAAAGTTGAAGTATTAGTGTCAATGACAATAGAAATTGAACAAGAAATATAGTTTAGTAAACCACATGAAATCATAGAACGAAATGTAGAAAGCAACAGCCAAATGAAAGAGTTAGAGGAACATATCATTTGAAGTCACAATTTTATCTTATAAGATTGAAAATATTAGGACCTAGTGAAATGTACCGAAAAATTACCTTATATAATCGATGAATATATATATATATATATATATATATATATATATATATATATATATATATATATATATATATATATATATATATATATATAATAAACAAAATCATTAATCTATCAGACCATACAAAAACCCATTTCTCCTCCCCTTTCCTCTACCTCATTAACTTTACTCTTAATAGATAATTTACAGCAGACTGGGTCAGGAAGAAAGAATAATTGGCTAATTGGTTACTATAGGGATTAGCAAAAGAAATAGAAGCGCGCATACCCATGAATGAGATGGTGTACAAATACCTATATGGAATTTGTCGATAAAAAAAATCGAGATTGCTATATATATATATATATAACACCGAAATTCGACCACTAGAACTACTCACAACAATCACAACTTATTCGCAACCACCACAAAATCACGGTTTAAACGAAAACCAATACTACTAAAACTACTACTAGTAGCAATAATAATAATAAGAGAAAATGATTCATTGTCAAGAAACAGTTTTGATGTAATTTTGTAGAAATACACTGAACTTTTTGAACAAGTTTTACATATGCTTGCATAAAAGTAGACTAAAATTTCCACAGCGCTCATCTCTGGATAAAATGAGTAACAGGATTGTTACCTGTAAACATTTTGATGAAACTAATCATTTCATCATTATTTCTCTTGTAATAAGCAAATCAAAATCTCTTTATCTTGAATACATCGGTTAGTGTGCTTCTTAGTTTTTATTAAGATTAAATTTACAGGCTGGTTTTGTGAAAAACTCCATATTTGCTAGATTTCTGCTAGTATACATAGTTTAGCATACAAAATTGCCTTCATAACACAGAATACAGCTACAGTTGAATACTAGTGAGTATGTGTGAGACAACGTTATCTGAATACACTAAGTCGAGAAGCTTCTCAATATAAAAGAATAATACTACTACTAACATGCGCTTCTTTATGAGCTATTTCTAGTATCATCGATGACGAAATTGAGGAATTATATTTAACTTTGTTAATAGTTCCAAACAATGAAGAAATAGTTACATCTTTTCTCTATAGTTGTAGTATTTTGATACAGAGCAGTCACAACCAGTGAACCAAAGGAAACTGGTACAAACAAGCATAATGAATGATTACTTACAGTGAGTGATGTTGTCTTATAGTTAGGCGCGGGATAAAGGTCTGGCCGATACATTCACGGCCCGAAAGAAAACTGATACACTAAACAGTCTTTCACGAATTCTTAAGATCAAATTATTATTAATTTATTAGAAAACATAAATATTAGTACAAAGGGGCACCAAATACATATTCGTCAGACAAGTCACTTGATTTGAGTGTGTGGGTAGTGGTACTGCTAGGGTGCCCAAACCGAAGTAGGTGGTTTTCTTAGAGGGCCATACCCCGATTCCTTTGACCTAAAGGTTTGATCCACAAGGCAGTGGAGCAACGTTAAAAGATGCAGTCCCACGATAGCCGGTGACCAACAATCGGTTCATAAACCATTTTTTACTCAGGACACTGAAACCCATATGCACCATTGGTTTGGAATGAGGGTTTTCCAACTCCCTTTGGTAGATCCTCCATATCCACTAACCCAGTGAAAGAGATGGACATTCACTTTTCGTCTTTAAAATTTCGTTAGGAACAGTAATGCCGCGAGAAGGCTGTTAGTAGAACTTCCCTGTTAGTGGATGTATGTGCGTGGCCATGTGAGAGCATTTCGAGAAGGAGAGCAGACTCCTCTCTCTCGGCTGTATCAGGGCATTTGGGGTGCCTTAAGACCAAATAGTTTGAATGGGATTAGGAAAGTATACTCTGATAATTATCACACGCTTTACATAAGCCATATTTAAAGAAATATAAGACAATTATTTTATTACAGAAGGATTGAAAACTCTAATTCCCAAGTTTTTTCGGGTGTACGTTTCCCGTACCTAGTGACTTATGAAGCTTCAGAAGTTGGAAATCTATTCTGAACTGTGCTTCGTTGACTGGATTAGTAGTCAGAGATAAAAACAGGAAAGTGAAGAACATTGCTGAAGTAGTTGAACTGTCTATTAAAGTGCTCCTCATAACGTTAAAAACGCCTTTAAATATTACCTATTGGGGCACTATCATCCTACAGATTTTCTAAATACTACGACATACTCCGATAGTGGCTCGGATGGGTCGCAAAAATTGAGAGTTTAGATTAAGCTGCTAAAGCCAACGTACCAACCAACCATGAGCATTGGATATCGATGTTCCTACGCAAGCTCCATCAAACAGGTGTTTGCAAGAATAAATAAGAGGACATCGGAAGGTTGGATGGAGACTGTAAAAAAATGGTATTTACATGCCAATGGTACAGAGCGCGATAAAGTATCCAGGTAAAAGTACACGGAGAAGCCTCGTTGAGTAGACAAATGTAGTACGTTATTAGAATATAATATGCAATGTCTAAGATTAAGGTAACATAAGTTGAGAAACTTTCAAGAGTCACATTCAAACCTATCTATCGTTTAATGTGCATGATGTTGTGAACGGTAACAGTGGTAAGATTAGATAAAACATGGTGACCCAGAATAGCCGCATTAGGTATCGCATTCGTGAAAACAATCAGATACCAACAAATCAGTGACTTGAGATCCCTCAGAGAAAACGAAACTCCAACAAGGATAAGTAGAAATAACACAACATCCTACATGTTAACATTGGTAGCATAAAATGACTAAGTAGCCATATGGGTTATTTGGTGAAATACATACCCCTGATAAACGAGTCGATGACATGAAAGTTGAAGACCCGAATGCAACAACGAGAAAGCTTAGGTAAATAGCTAGTTTAAGACTATTTTATTTACAACAAAGAAAAAAACCTCCAGCAAAAAATAATAATAAAAAGGAATCTACATTAGGTCCAAATAAAGGAATCTTGCAAGGCAATAAACATCATTTAGATCACTGAAAGGACTGATACGACAGGGGGTGGGGGTCTGCTCTCCCTCTCGAAATGCTCTCACATGGCCACGCACATACATCCACTAACAGGGAAGTTCTACTAACAGCCTTCTCGTGGCATTACTGTTCCTAACGAAATTTTAAAGACGAAAAGTGAATGTCCATCTCTCACTGGGTTAGTGGATTTGGAGGATCTACCAAAGGGAGTTGGAAAACCCTCATTCCAAACCAATGGTGCACATGGGTTCCAGTGTCCTGAGTGAAAAAATGGTGTATGAACCGATTGTTGGTCACCGGCTATCATGGGACTGCATCTTTTAACGTTGCTCCACTTCCTTGTGGATTAGAGCCTACTGGCTTAAACATTCATGTGGTCAAGTAAATCAAATGAACCTGCATAGATTATAACTCATCAAAAAAACTACGATGAATGTTTCGCGATTTTATGGCAGCGATTCTAATGAGAATTTAATTAGTTGACGATAATATTCTTAGAAAGTTTGGGGGCGGGATATTTTAGGAAGGATCCACAAAACATTTGAGTTTTAAGGCAAAACCAACAAAGCTACACTGTAAAGTACAAACTATTCGGCAATATATAACTGAGAGCTCTATGTTAATTACACATTTTTAGGTTGGCATGTTTTACTAGAAGACAGAAATATATGCCAATATTAGGCAAACAGAAACGCATTTTGCTGATAAAAACTGCCTTAGACAAACGTGACAGGTGAATTAGAACACAATAATTATATTTATTAATACTAATTTTACTTCAGTTATAGTTTAAAAGAGGTAAAAATATATCAAGGCGTAATAAGTACATACCTGACCTTCACCCTCAATCACCAGACCCACTTTATCCTCAGTTAAGTTTTCCGACGACTTTTTCTGCTCATCTTCCTCACCTTCGTCTTTATAAACCTTAACCTCATCGGTACATGCAACTTCCATAAGTACCGAATACACAGAAATCGACCTTAGCCTCCTTCACTGTACCGCACACCTTGAGAACAAGGTAAAAAAACCTACATAGATTTCATTGAAAAAAGCCTGATAACATTATCCTACTGACAATACTGATATAAAACATTTATCATAAAGTAAAATAAGATTTTTGTGTTTTGTGCTATTGCTTTAAGCGGCAGATTCAAATCTTGTTGACCAACGTAAGCTGATTTGTTTATATTATGTAGCCTTTAAACTACTTCTTTTTAGTTCAGATTGGGTTCCATTGTTAAGTAAACCGCCGTAATAATTACTAATTGTAAACCTAGACGCAAAGTGTTGCCTCAAAATGGATGCAACCAACGCTATTACGGAATTAACTGCCACTGAACAGAGAATTATCAAAATTAAATCGGATATAGATCAATTCGATGAACTTCTTAAAAGTGTGACCAGTGGATATGGCGACAAAGACAGTCTTAATGAAAAATATCATAACTTAATACTTTCTACTAAGGATTTGTCGTCTCACCTGGCAGTTATTCAAAAGTAATTCAATTTTTATCATACTATAGTTGACCGTTTTTAATTTAGTACATTTACCAAAACCTTAGTGCCTAGGGATGTCAATAAAATTTATTGGTAGATTGTTGTCAATCTCATCCACACAAAAATTCGCTTAGTCTGTAGTTACTGACATTTCTCGAACTTAAGTTAGCGTTTGATTGTAATATATATATGCGACCGTGTCTAGCATTAAAAGATGAAGAGAAGTATATTAATCTTGTACATACTACTCGAACGCTACTGGTAAACTGTCACCGGAATTAATGGCTTCAAATGGTGTTCGTCTAGGTTGTCAGGCTTTCCAATTTCTATTTACCTTTATCATATACACCTTCAAAGATGACAGTCTCATCATCAGACTTGTCAAGGATCGACCTCCTATCAAGAGATTCTTTTTTTATTTAGAATACGCAGATGATGCAACCGTTTTTTTAAAGGACTGGTAAAGTACAGTTTTCTGAACGCCTTCAGCAACGAAACCAGGGTGCTTGATATACGATTCTCTCCTTAATACAAATTATTTATTCAAAGTTGATCCACATCAACGCTTAAAGTAATGATAAAGAGTGAAGTAGTTATGTGTATTAACCACTTCATTTATCTCAAAAGTCCCATCAATCCTAGTGTGTTGATGAAATTTCCTGGTGAATTCGGAAAAGCTGGTTGGTTTTCGTCAATATCCGCTACTTGTAGTGTATTTCACTGTTCAGCCGTTCACTCCGTTCTAGTTTTCGGTTACAATCACTGATTGTACCAATATATAAGAAAGCGTCAAAATCATCCTGTGACAATCATAGAGGGATTAGTTTAACAAATATAGTATCTATAATACTAGCCTCGATAATTATCGGACTCCTAACTAAAACTCGTGAACTGCAAACACGACAAAATCCGGCTGGCTTCAGACCTGGTCGTGGCTGCATCGACCACATGTTCACCATTCGTCAGGTTCTAGAACACAAGCATACTTATCGGCGTCCGACAATGGTGATTTCTCTTGACTTAAAAGCAGCATTTGACTCTGTAGACCGCGAGATTCTGTGGCAGTGTCTGTCATTGAACGGCGTACCTCAGACGTATATAAATCTTGTTAAGGCTTTTTACTCGAACACCACTAGTCGAGTCAGAACTTATGGAGAACTGTCATCTGCTCTTGCAACCTCAAATGATGTCTGTCAAGTTTGTTCACTTTCTCCATTTTTGTTTAACTTCATCATAGACCTATTGATGGAAATAACACTCTCGTCTACTGAATTCTCGGGTATTGACCTCCTACCAGGAGGTCCACTTATCGACTTAGAATACACAGATGATATAGTCCTGTTTGGTGAAAACGCTGATAAAATGCAGTCTTTTAATAGCACTGAACAACATTGCTAGAATTTTCGGAATGCGTTTCTCCCCCTCTAAATACAAGTTGTTGCTTCAGGACTGGCCTACGTCAACACCTGCCCGAGCTTCAAATTTTGGGGAAACTCCCGAAGTTAAATGACCTTCACCGATGTTTGGGGATTTCCCCTGGTCTGGGAAATTTCGGGGTTTTTGTGCCATTTCCCAAAAATTTACTATAGCGGCTTCCTCAAAATTGAGAGCTTGGGTGGACTAATGATAGGGAGTGAAGTAGTAGAAGGCATTGATAACTTCATTTATCTTGGAAGTTTGATCAGCCCTTATGAGTTTGTGTCTGAGGAAATTTGAGCACAGATTCGAAAAGCTTGTTTTGCTTTTGCCAACTTACGTCACCTATGGCGAAGGTGAGATATCCGTCTATCGATTAAGTGGCGAGTATACAGTGCGGCAGTTCGTTTCGTTCTAATTTACGGCCACGAAACGTGGCCATTAAGAGTAGAAGATACTCGTAAGCTACTAGTATTTGACCACAGATGCCTTAGAAATATTGCTGGCATCTGCTGGGATCACCGGGTAATAGTGAGGTTAGACGTAGGGTATTAGGGAATGATGGTAAATCAGTTGGTGAGGTTGTGAATCTTCATCGATTGAGATGGTTGGGCCTCGTTTTGCGTATGTCTGAACACCAGTTACCACGACGCGCATTGCTGACTAGTGTTGGGGATGGTTGGAAGAAAGTCAGGGGCGGTTGAACTAAAATGTGGCATCAGTGCTTGAAGTCACTACTAGTCTGAGTCATGTTGGTAGATGCAGTATACTTGGTTAGGGTCCGCCTGACTATCATAACTAGTGATCGGAGACTCTAGATAACACCGCTCAGAATCGATCATATTGGTGTAGGTGTATACACTGTTTCTCTTCCCTTAAACCGTGAGATTAAAATTACTTTGTACCTTGCTTTCTATGACCTAATTCTTTCTTCCTGTACTGTATCCTTATATGCAATCCTTCTTTTATATATTACTACCATTGCAGTAATCACTTCTATGAATTTGGTGTTCGTCTTGTTGTGCTAATTAGGTGTGGCAAATTGGAAATATGTGCCTGGTCCTACATTCTAGCTGACTGACTTTTAGCTGTGAAGCGTTTAACATAGGGTATATTCTTAATTAACCAGTATTCGATCATGTCTTCAATTTATTATTTATTTATTTAAACACATAAACATTGGTACAAGAGGGCACCAAATAGATATGCATCACATATTTCATTCGATCGATGTGAGGGCTGGGATGCTACCAGTACGCCCAAACCGAATCAGGTGGTTTTCTTACGGAGGCCACATCCCGTGCCTTTGACCTAGTTGTCTAATTCACAAGGCAGTGGAGCACTGTTAGGAAATGCAGTCTATGGTAGCCGTTGACCAACAATAGGTTCATACTCCGTTCGTTCCCTCAAGATCCTGGAACCCGTGTGACCATTGGTTTGGAATGAGGGTTTTCCAACTCCCCTAGGTGGACCGTCCCTATCCACCATGCTGGTTGAAGCGACGGACATTCACTTTTCCTCCTCTCAATTTTGCAAACAATAGTAATGCGGTGAGATGGCACTGAGTAGGACTTCCCTGACACTGTCTTCAAACTATTACTCGTATATTTTGAGATCACTGCGTTAGGGATTTTAAGATTAGACATGTAGTTGTTGATAAGTATGGCAATCCATTGACGAAGGAGTGAATCTTTATCAACTGAGATGGTTAAAACATATATTTCATGTACCCACCCACCAACTACCTCGATGTTTATTTATTTATTTCAACACAGATATTGGTACAAAGAGGCACCAAATACATATGCGCCACACAAATCTCATTCGATATGTGTGAGGGCTGTGATACTGCCCGGGTGCCCAAACCGAAGCAGGTGGTTTTCTTAGGGGGCCACACCCCGAGCCTTCGACCTGAAGGTCTGATCCACAAGGCAATGGAGCATCGTAAGGAGATGCAGTCCCATGGAAGCCGGTGACCAACAATTGGTTCATTCGCCATTTGTTCTTTCAGGATACTGGAGCCCATGTGCACCATTGGTTTGGAATCCGGTTAAAGCGCCAGACATTCGCTTTTCGTCCTCTCATTTTCGTAAACAACACCCCCGCCACGAGAAGGCAGTGAGTAGGACTTCCCTGGCAGAGGCTATATACGCGTGGCCGTGTGAGAGTATTTCGAGAGGGAGAGCGGACTCTCCCCACTCTCGGCCGTACCAGGGCATTTGGGGGCAACTACCTCGATGTGCTAGTACATTATCAGAAAGATAGGGGTGAATAAACAAAGACGTGATCAGTGCGTGAACATACTGACTATTGAACTGAGCCACGTAAGTAGGTTTAGGCTACTGGTTCGGCGTCCGCGTGATTGTCGTAACCAATGGTTAGGAACTTTGGATGATATGGCTCATAATCGTTCGCTTTTTGCCTTCCCTTAGGCTATAGGTTTCCGAATCTCTCTTAAGTAAATTAATATTACTGCTGGAAGATTTTTCTATTATCTCGAATCGCATCTTGGATGCCCAATCTTTTCTATTAACGCTAATGCTGTTACTACCTCTACTACTGTAGGATTCTCCTTGACAATGTCGAAATAATAGTAATTAAGTCATTCTCAACAAATCAAAATTTCTCCCCACATTTCAACCTACTAGCTGCTTTATTCGTCCTCATTTTAATTAGGTAGTTAGTTGTAAGCCGGTATTATTGATGACAGAGCTTGCAGTAATATAATCTTTCCGTTTCCTAGACTAAAAATATACCAACCTTTTTATTTTAGCCTAGTTTAAAGTAGTAATTTCAACAGTTTATTTCATTTCATTTGATCTGTTTATAGAGTGATTGAAGTTGGATCACATATTCCTGACCTACGTGCACGAGCTCGTACTCTTAACACTCAAGCCATAAACCAATTAGGGCGTTTGCGAAGACTAGGCGGCGTTGTTCAACAGCATGTTCGTAATGAAAAAAATGTATTCTCAGTCAATTGTCAAGGACAGTACCCGTCACTTGGTATCTTCTCAATTGATCGTAAGTTATCTCAAATATACTTTTCTTTAATGCATATGTATCTTACTGATTAATTCCTGTATATGTAATAAATAAGTTGTCGATTTAGTGACCTCATGATTCGAAACAATTTGTAGTATCGATTGTTATTTTGTGTGTTGTGTCTCTATGATGTCAGTGTCTCTTATTCTTCACTGTGCATTATTCCATTCCTTTAAACCATTTTACTGACAACTTTCTTATTACTCTTAAAATGATTCCATTACTTTCCGTAGGTTTCCTCCCATCACTTGAAGCATACCTAAGAAGTTCGTATCAATGGAAACCATTTAATGTTTTAGTCAATGGTTATATAATTTTGTATTAGATTGTAGTTCTTGTCATTCTAATTCTACCCTTAATTTACTCTATTTACCATAGGACATAAAATTAAGGGAATGACACCTTGTTGGGATATTCAGAAAAATATCCCAATAATTATCATGTTAAGTCTATTAGTTTCCTTGGACTTTAAATGAACATTCCCTATTGGTCAATATTTATTTCACTTGTTAAATATAGTGTAAATGTTGTTTTCTATTTTATGGTACGATGTGGTCTGTTTGATTGGTATATAAACAGAGTATGTCTGAAATATAATGATTCATATCTCAGAGGCTGAGACTTGTGTTCTGCACTCAACTGACTGGGCTAGACAGGGAAGCAGGGCCAATCGGGACTCTAGGCCGTTCTTACGTGTTTTACGCGTCTTTGGTCTGATCGATAATACGCTACCTTCTAATCTGCACTCACGTTATAACACACATTCTTATGAAAATTATTGCGTGGTACATATATAACACCATGCTCTCTCGAAGGAGACAATCCTTTCGGGAAACTGTCTCGATTATTTCAGAAGGAATGGGAGTCTGTGAGTGTGTTTGTACCCGTCCCTACTGACTACAGTTCAAATGAGGCATGGGTTTTCTGGTCTTCAAAGATCTAAACGCCCAGGCATTGAAAACATAGATGATAATTCTAAGCAAAGATGGAAGAACACAAAAAGTTGTTTTAGAATTGGTTTTCACCAGCTACCTGTTTGACTATAGGTGGCAATGTAAATGAATGTTTAATTTCTCTTATTTCGAAGATCTCATCAGTCCTGGTTGGTTTTTGTCTGATAAAATCTCTGGACGGATCCAAAACTTTATCTCGGTACATGGCAACTTCTGGTGTAAGCGAGATGTCAGTCTCTCAGATGGTTAGAGGATATAATTAGCACCAATCCTCTTTGCATTTAGTGTATAAACGGGAAGCGCTCTAGGAATTCCGATGACTTTTATAAGCTCCAAGTGTCCGATCATAGCTTCTAAACCCAGATTGAGAAATCTTATTAATTATCTATTTTTCCTATTTTTTAGAAGAACCTTTAGAACAGAAACATATTTCTTTAGAATCAAAGGCAGATATCCAAAGAGCGCATGAAATGGAACAGTTGGAATCTGATATAGTTCAAGTAAACGAACTTTTCACAACACTTGCTACATATATTCACGATCAAGGAACGTTAGTTGATTCTATTGGAGATAATATAGAAGTAGCTTATGAACAGGTAGGGTTTTTTTTCAGTTGATGTTCATAAAGTCGTTACTTTTACGTGATCCCCGGTGAAAATAGGTACATACACTGTCTAAAATTCATTTTGAATGTTATAATGTTAAGTTGGTCACTAAATCATGAAGTTACCCTCTATCATCTTCAGTTCCCCAGGTGATTGTGATATTCTCATTTGATGTTTAATAGACGACTACAGTTAGTAGTTGAAAAAATAATATGGTATGGTTCGAAACCGGTCTCTAACCTATAATCGCCTATAGTCTGAGGACTCTTAGTAATTCTTCTGCCAAACACAAGCGGTATTAGGATATGTTTTTGCCGGGAACATTTTGAAAAATGACAAGATTTTACATAGTTTATTATCTTAGAGTCGTCATTCACTAGGCATACTACAAACTGGTTAGAAGTTTCGGAAATTGATAAGTCCTGCAAATTGAACGCTATATATTGGTTTCTTAAGCTATTCTGTAACCCCCAAGCTAGAACTATACAACGACCTGAACAACGAGAGAGAAGACTCAAAGTATGCGAGAAGTATTTTACTCCAAGACTCATTTCAATACAGAAAATATAGGTTTTTTATAATATTTTTAAATATTCTTGAGTTGTTAGAAGATAGTAGAATGCTATTAAACATAGTAGCAATATAACAATCAGTCAATCAGAACCTCTACATGTAACGTTTCATTTCAAGTGAACACTGATTGAATGAAACGCTTCATAGTGTTTCCTGATTCTTGCTTATCTTTTGCAAACAATTTTCTGAATCACTCCAACAGAAATAAAGGTTCTTTATCATCCATATTTACCATTTTTCATATGATGTCCATTTATTCAACTATGTTAACGGTTTATATTTTGTTTTTTAGGTTCAAAGTGGTACAGAACAATTAAGCACTGCTACAAAACATCGTAAATCAGCACGACGAAAAAAGTGCATTTGTCTTGGTCTTATATTATTAATTTTATTTATTTTAGCTTTAGCAATAGGATTATCATTAAAACAATAAATAATTCTCATCAACTATTGTCATTTTGGCTTTTTGGTGTGTATTCTCATCAACTATTTTCATTATATCACTATGTTTTGATTTTTGTTTTGTTTTTAAAAAAAAAAAGAAACATACTTTTCACTTTTACTGAAATCAATCGCTTCATGTCTTTCATAATTCATCTTCATTAAATTATAATCTTTCTTTATATCCTTCATTATTTGGTAATGATCTAATATTCATATATGAATTTGATTGTATAGTTAAAGTTATATTAACCAGTGATTGTTTACTTCTGTGATTTGTATCATGATGGGATAATAGAAAGTTCTTATTTCCTCGCAGAGAATGGTAATGTTTAGTGATAGTCAAACCTTCAAAGTTATCGTATTTTGTTATCTAGTAAATGTAAATTGTATTTGTCAACGTTTTAAAAGTTGGAAAGTAAAGCTGATGCTGAAACTTGTATTTACGAAACGCTGCTTTCTCCCTAGTCATTATGGATTGAAAATGTGCCAGCGGGTTTTGTTATGTGAGAGAGTCTTCATAGTTTGCAATTAAACATGAAGACTTGCGGACTGTTACAATACTGGATATACGATGAAAGACGACGACACGAAGTGATAACTGCCCTCAACTGAACTGATACCAAATGACAGCTAGTAGTCATCTGACGAATAAGTAATCGCAACATTCAAGTTTCTTATCTCACTCGGCCTCCTAGATAATTAGAACCTGATTGTTAGATTTAATGTGGTCAAGTCGCAATTAAAGGAAACAACTTTGACCTCTGATCTTGCTGCCTCATTCGATTATCCTGATTAAGCATTCTTGTTTTTCATACTAATATCAACACAGATGATCTGAGAAGTTGATTGATCTTACAAATGACATCAACCTAACTTGTGAACCGTAATGGATCAGTAACTTCATATATATGTATCTCAGTGATACAATTAAGCTGTTATTCACCGATCTTCCGGTTTCTTTAGCCTGGGTCTTGCTTAATACAAACGAAAACGTTCTCTAATTAGTCCGCCTATATTAATCCAGATATAAATGCTTTCAGTGAAAGTGTAAGCAGCCTCGCTCATCTTTTCATTGGTAATGACACGGAAATTATTGTATTGAATGTGATTTGGTAACTGATGTGACCGCTTCCCAACAAAATTCTGGTCATAGTCCTCCAGATCATTGTAGCCCTTTACAACATCTTGTTAAGCATTACAATCATTAGGACAATATACGTACAAACAAAAATATAATTCAATGATAAGTCACTTGAACTGGTTTATCGATTTTGCAAATTCTATACGAACATTAAATTACTGATCAATCACTGGTTCAGTTCGTTCAAGTTTATTGATTGATTGAGCACTCAAAAGGACATGTGACCTACTGTTGTTATTATTATGGATGCCGTTCACTTAGTAGTTGGTGTATCAATAATTTCTCTCCCATAGTCTTCATTTGTGTCGTCAATACAAGAGTGCTGTTCCGGTGTGATGAGTAATAAACGCAGTCAGTTGTACTAGTAGCAATAAACTGTGCTGGCGGTGTGCTTGAATATCTGGGCTACTTGTCCCTGCTCTCTAGATGTTTCAAAAGATTATGTCTCCATTTGTTTTAACATTATGTCTATTAATTACACAGGCCATTCAAATGAGTTTATGGAAATTTTACGGCCTTTCGTTGTACAAGTTACAAAAAAGTACAATCAAAGACATCACGATAGTTGGCAATATCAACTTAAGTGAATGAACATTATTCAAATGCCGATTGCTGAACTGCCTACATCTAACTGGTGATCACTAATTGACAAAGTAGATTGTCTTCAATTCCTACTAAGTCTAAACATGTATCATTATTGTGATTCAATCACAGTAACACTACAAAATTTTAATATTTAGCGTCATGAATAATCGAGCAATAACATAAGGAAACCTCATACACATAGTTCCCTTTATTATCTTAAATAAAGCATTATTTATTTATTTTAACACAGATATTGGTACAAGGAGACAGCAAATACACATGCGTCACACAGATCTCATTTGATATGTGTGAGGGCTGTGACACTGTCCGGGTGCCCAAACCGAAGCAGGTGGTTTTCTTAAGTGGCCACACCCCGAACCTTCGACATAAAGGTCTGATCCACAAGGCGATGGGGCAGCGCTAGGGGATACAGTCCCATAGAAGCCGGTGACAAACAATCGGTTACTACGCCATTTGTTCGCTCAGGATCGTTTAGCCCATGTGCGCCTTTGATTTGGAATTAGGGTTTTCCAACTCTCCGTGTCCACCAACCTAGTGAAAGAGATGGACATTCGCTTTTCGTCCTTACAATTTCGTTAAGAACAGTAATACCACGAGAAGGCTGTTAGTAGAACTTCCCTGTTAGTGGATGCAAGCGCGTGGCCATATGAGAACATTTCGATAAGGAGAGCGGACTCTCGGCCGTACCAGGGCAAGAACGAATAATTGGTGAATAATAAATGGATTCATTTTATTTCGTTACGTTCCCATCAGCTGCTTACAACCTGTAATATTTGAAAATCAACGTTATTACATATATCGACATACTTAGACATAAAATGGTGATCAAAGATGAATATGTGTATCATGATGTAACAGAGGTGTCAATCGAGTTAATAAGATCATGAGAAACCTTTTGTTTAGGAGAAATAAAGTTTGGGAGGGAAAGTTCCAGAACATTAAATTAATGATCATAACTCATGGAGTTAACAAACATTAGATGATTGTGTAATGAACTAACTGAAATGGTAATAAAGAAAGGTATGAATTGAAGAAAAATGGAATTAGATTGTTTGTTAATCACGTTGAAGGACTTTAGTGTATCGACCTCATGTCCTGTCTTCTGGGACTTCCCCCCCCCCGAACTTTATTTATTAACTCTATTGAAATCTTCGATACATTATGACACATATATTTATCTTTAATCACTCACTTATGTATAAGTATGTCAACATTTTTAATAATGTTGATTTTAAAATATTACTGGTTGTAAGCAGCTGATGAAAACCTAACAAAATAAAATGAATCCATTTATTATTCTGTACCAATTATTCATTCTTGGTCACTTTAAAAAAGAAATCTGTTGAATAACTTTATACTGACAATTCTAAATTGATATCAGAAGGCATTTTGTGAATATTATAGTAATTTTAATAGTTGAGATCATGAGTCAATTGAAGCTAGACCATTGTGAAAAACCTAGAAGCACTGGAAGACCATTTCGTTCTATTGTAAGACTCCTTAACAATGCGCATCCACGATCCAGCCTCACGAGATTCGAACACATGACCTAACAATCTCTCATGCAAACCTGTAGACCAATGAGCCAGCCGGTATTCAACAGTGTTATTGTACCAAAAATAGAATATAATGAATAAAGCCAATAATAACTATATCAAATCCAAATCACATTAATAACATACAACGTGAATAGTACATTGAGAGAGCATATACATCTGTATATATCAAATTTTGTTCTCCCTATCAACAAAATAAACAATAATCTTTATTTCTAACAGAAAAATGTAACAAAATAAGATTAGCAATTCAAATATACCTTGAGATGAATAATACTCATTCTATTAATATGGTAATAATAATAATCACTGAATAATACAAAATATCATACAAACCATATAAAATAAACAAATATGATTTGAATTCCAGAAGAATTTGTTTATATAGATAGAAAGGGAAAAAAAGGGAGAACAAACCCACTTAGTGACAATCATAATAAATTTCAATGAAAGACTAACATTTTTGGCAGTTTAAAAAAAAAACGTGGGCTGGGGGAGGAAGGGGAAAAGTAAGCAGCCAGAAAATTTCGATCAAATTGTACATAGAAAAAAAACTGTGAACACTGTACATTTTTTTGTTCTGTTTATTAAAGATACTACTAATTGTTAAATCATTGATATATCTATATGTGTGTACTTTAAGTTAATGGTGATGAATCCAATGATGCACGTTGAAATAATTCAATTAAATAATTTAAACCATATAAAAAATTTTCATCTTTGATTTGACTACAATCTGTTACTAATTCCCAACGTGTAAAATCAATTAAATATACTAAAACATATTCATCTATATCATTATTATTTATATTGGATATAATTGATTCTTTATTGTTGTCTTGACAATTATGATGATCATGATGATAATATGAATAAGGTAACTGGGTGGTGGTGGTGGTAGTGGCGGCGGCGGTGGTGGTGGTGATTGTATCCGAAGATGACATAATCTCATCATTGACATCAACACTATCATAAGCTAATAATAAAGAACTTGCATAGAAATGATAACAATTTTGATTTTCAAACCATTTAGCTAATTGTGTTAATTTTTTAACAAATTGATTAGCTAATCTTTTTGCACGATTTACATCTGGACCAAGAAATAGACGAATACCTTAATTAAAAAAAAGTATAAATATAACAAAAATCAATAAATAGAAATATATATTTCAATGATGAATCGATCTATGTTAGACCATCATTCAAACTGTGGAAATAATAGACGGGGTCGTTACGTCTTAATATGAGACTCGTCAGTTATATGCATCCATATCGCCGCACATGGTTTCGTACACGAAAGCTCCACCCTTAAACAACTGGGCTAGTATCCAACAGTATTAATCTCTAACTTTAATCAATCTACGATACTCCGAGAACAGTTTCCGTTGTTTTCAAGATTCTCAACATCCATTGGCCGGATAACATCAGCAACAGCCTTCTGTGGGAAAATACGAACTAGCTTCCAGCTGAAGAAGAAATTAGGAAAACACGATGGAAATGGATAGGACATACATTACGCGAATCATCAAACTCTATCACGAGGCAAGCCCTAACTTGGAATCCTGAAGGGATGAATAACAACTGGAAGGAGCTGGAATGGATTGGAAAGGACAGGGTTGGATGAAGAATGCTGATGAGCGGCCTATGCTCCTTAACGAGGAAAAACAGACATAAGTAAATCAGTGGGAAAACTACCTCACACTCCGACACGGTATAACATACTTCAAATTATACATAAAATTGATAATACTTTATGCTTTAACTAGTTTGTATTCAATCAATCAACTTTTCTGTAGACAATGAACACTTTTGTTTTTATTAAGAAATATACTTGATTGTATGATAGCTTCTACTAGTATAATTAATCACTGATATTCTTCATGATTCAATCAGTCAGTCAGCTACAACTTTCACATGTTAATTGAAATAGGATGATAAATTTGCGTCATTGCATAGTGATTAGTGTTGAGAAGATAGGATACTGCATTTTCATATACTTATTTGAGCATATAAATATTGGTACAAAGGGGCACCAAATACATATGGATCACACAAATCACTTGATTTGTGTGTGGGCTGTGATACTAAACGAGTGCTCAGACAGAAGCAGCTCGTTTTCTTAAGTGACCACACCCCGAACCTT